AAATCTATATTTAAAAAATATATATATAATAAATGCAAATGCCAGTGTGTCACTGTCACACTTTTTCAACTTTACTCCCAAAATATCATACCATTTTGGAATCAGGCCAACTCTATGAGCAAATTAAAAATATTCTTTGCCAGATTCGAACTTGCAATCCTGAAATTTTGGATTCCCAATTTTTCACTACTGTGATTGTTTTCAGATTCCATCATCTTGGCTTCTACTGATAAAAACAAATAAAAGGTCACAACTTCCTAACTTTCAATAGCTCATGTTCAAATGAAAAAATTACTGTTCTCAAATTACAGTGTTTCAAAATAAAATTGTCCATGTTTGCAACTTTACTCCTAGAGCAAGTAGCCCAACATATCCTACCGTTTTGGAATCAGGTCAGCTCCGTGAGCAAATTAAAAACATTCTGGGCTGGATCCAGATGATTCCCAAGTTTTCATTACATTACTGTAACTCTTTTTGGCAATTTTTTCTTTTTTTTTTTTTTTTGTGATTTTTTTAGGACAAATTTTTTTGGACAATAACAATTTTTATTTGAATTAATTGCGAAAGTTATCTATAAAATAAAAATAATTGTTTGTACAGAGCTATATTTAAGTAAATGCTCTGTTTATAATAAATAATTTTAACTACATTTACCAGCTTGAATATCCAAGAAATTTCATGGAAAATGTGTCCTCCGACAGGAATCAAACCTGTATCCTACATGGAATTGTCATATAACCTGACGTGCTATACCATTTAGCTACAGAGGAAGTGCCTGGTTAGCAAAGCCATAGGAAATTTGTTGTTTAAAAACAATTTGATTTCTCTTGCACATCAAGCTTATCAAACTTTCTTCTGGTTCCTTGCTTTCCAGTCAAATTTGATCTTTAAAAATTTTAAATACAATGTCAATTGTCATCTTCTCTCTCTCTCTCTGATTCATGTTCTTTTATTGGCCTCTATCCTTAATAAGGTTTTCTTTTTTATTCTTTTACACTCAGCAACCCTTTATGTCATAGTGGCTTTATCACCTTGCTTGGAGTGAAATGATTTTAAAAAAAAAAATAAAATAAAGTCAGTATGGTTGCAATTTACTTAAATTTAAATAAGGAGCCTCACTAACCTGGCATCCCAGTTTAAACTTTAGTCCTTGCAACTTCATATATAAGCTACACGCCCACGGAGGTATATTTGCTAAAAGGATTTTTTTTTTTTTTTTTTTTTGTTATTGTTGTAACCCATGTCTTTATCTCAAAATTGCACTTTAACTATCCATCCTCCTTAATCATCTTCACAGTGCAATTAAACATCATTACTCTAATTTGTTCAAGTAGTAAAGTTAAGAAGTTACAAATTAAAGTCATTTGTTCCCGGCTTCAAAATCACTGTCCAATTCTACACTAGTTTCAAAAACTCTGCCATTTGTTGTTTTTATAAAACAATGTCTGCATTCAAAATACCTGATATACTTTTGTATATCTTGGCATTTGAAGGTATTTTTATCCTCAGAATTTCAGAGTATCCACTTTATACAACTCAGGCAACGTCTAGCTCGTGTCCCCTACATATGTGTCTTCTCTGCACTAAATATCAATAGAATTATATCTTCTTCCAAATGACACCTTCCTCACACCCATTGCCTGTTGGTGTCGTTAGCATTCTGTATGACCGCTGTCCAATAGTGTTACCCGTAATTGCCAAAATTTGTTTCTGTTTTTCAAACATATCTGCACCCACTCCATGTCTAACCATCCTTGTACAGCTTCATGTGGCTGAGTTTTGAATTCAGAGTTGTCCTTCTGTTTGGTAATCTTGGCTAGAACACCCAGTCTGCTCTTCTATTTAACCCATAACTGGGAGGAGAAGAAATGGGCATTTGTGCAGAAATGACTGTAACAAACTGAAATGGTATTCAAATTTGACTCCTTTTTGTTTCTTGTTTCTTCAAGATGCAAATGATTAAAAACAGGGAGCGGCAGATACACCTCCCACATAATGGTAAGGCATTAGCTCGATGAAGACACCATTGCCAATAATGTTTTACCATTATATGGGAGGTATTTCTGCTGCACCCTCTATATTGCAACTAAGTACCTGAATTTGACTAATATTTTTACATCCAAAAAGCCTAATGGATTTTAGAAGTTGAATTTGTAATACTTATTAATTGTAATATTACAAGATGCAATGGATAAATTACTGCCAGCTTAAATTTTAACTTTACGCATGTGTATTGTTTGTTGACTGCACAGTATAGTAGAGTCCATTGGGCACTGTCTGTAAGAAAAAGAGCACCATGATGCAATTCACTCTGCCAGAAATTCGAAAATGACATGTTGTACTGCTGGGCATTTGCACCAGAAGCTCCAATACAAACATTTCAGAGTGTTTGGGTGTCAATCTGAAGATAGTGCAGAGGATTCAGAAAGTGTTGGAGAGTCTAATGCATATTACAAAGGTGTTTGGTGTGATCACTAGTGATGGTGACATTATGCCTCCATTCATCTTACTACAGGGCCTCAGACTTAACACGGAAGCCTACATCAAGTACCTTCAGGAGGTAGTGCTGCCTTGGGTCAAGAGTATGGCTACTGGAAGACTCTAATCATTTTGATAAGAAAAGAACTCTAAAAGGCCTACATCCAGTGCTTTGAGGAGGTAGTGTACTGCCCTGGATCAAGAGGGTGGCTGCAGGAAGATTCTGTCTGGCAACAGGACTCTGCACCATACCACACAAGCAGGAGAACCCAGTCATTGTTCTCAAACAATTTCTGTAACCATATCACCCCTTACAACTGGCCACCTAGATCCTCTGACTACAACCCTCTTGATTATTATAAGTGGGACGTAGTTGAGCGAGAAACCAACAAAACTCCTTGTAACACCAAAAATGACCTGAAAGCAAGGATTATGGCAGTATTCACCAACTTAAACAAGGAGACCGTCTGGAAGAGTTGCTGCATATTTCAAAGTCATCAGGAGGCTGTGGTTGAAGCCAATTGCAATTTTGTTGAATAAGTTTACTCTTTAGTATTTCAAGATATTTTTGTGTCATTTTGGTAAATATATCTTTTAAAATAAGATGTCAGTGTTATTTTCATTTTTGCATAATCTGGATGACAATTTATCCATCGCACCCTGTAAGCGAACCTATTAACATTCCCTGAAATAAATTCTTCTGCTACCATGAGTGTATATTTAAGTACCACAAGTTTGATTCCATGTTCCCCAGATGAGCACCTTGGCTCCCATGCCTATATTTTAAAGTTTCTTCTCCCACCATATTTCTTTTCTTCCCCACAGTATTAGACTCCATGTTCTAATTTCAGGATGGTCATGCTCACATAGCAGTTGTGAGTTCAATCTCTGGACAAGGTAGTACAACTATACTTAAACTCAGTAGAAATGAGACTAGCAATAATTGAGCAGCACTAAAAAAAAAACAAAGAAAAGTTAGCCAAAGATGAGGAATCCCGAGACATGATAGTGGAATGAGAACACATTATACTTGTAGATTGAATAAAGGGTTTAGTTGGAAATTCCCCCAACTGCTGCCTGGATTGATAGACACCTGAAGAAGGCCAAAGAGTGCAATAGCGAAAACATTGTGATATTGACAACAAATGATGATGTCATTAGTTCAACTGTCTATTGTCAGATTTAAATATTTAAGTTTTTTTGGTTTTACTGTGATTCATAGTAATCTTTACCTGTTCCTTTTCACTTTTGTTTTTGCTTTTAATTCTCACTCGCCCCACCCAACAGTCAACTTTATACCTTGTCTCCCACATAAATTACTTTCTTCAGACACTGGAGGAAAAAAGAATTTAGTCCTATGATGACATAAATTTGCATCATTTGCTGGACTTAAAAATAGAGGATCTGAAGCAGTGAACATTATCTTTCTTGACGATGATAATTATGTTCCTATTTATTGGCAATCTAACAGAATCAAGACAGTCTTTGGTATGATGATAAACATCAGTCTGCAAGACCTGATTGGCAGAGATTGGAGGTTTTAAGAAGCATGGAACCATCTCTAAATTACTGTTATTCACATGTCCGCATCTAAGAAAAACAGTAAAAGGCAGTAGTTTGGAACTAGATGATAAAATACTGATGGAATTGTTTAAGCTTTGTGTAAGCGAAAGTATTGAACTGCCTGTTTAGCTCTTGTTTAGAATTCCTTCTGTAAGTTGGCATTTTCACTATTTTAGAAATTCTTGGGCCCTGATTGGAAATAAAAATCCTTGGGTCCCAATTTTTCTAATAAATTTCCATGAGAATTTTTTTTGGTCATTTTCAACCAAGATGATAATGTTACTAGGAGTGAAAGAAAATGAGACAACTGAGGATAAAAGAAAATGATTCAGGAAAACAAGATGGCAATTGACATTGTATTTAAAACTTTAAAGATTGTAGGTGACTGGGAAGCAAAAAATCTGAAGAGTTCCACAGGGGAGAAGTATGAGAAAAAAAAATTATTATAATAGAACATATGGTTACATCTAATTCAACAGTAAAATGGTGAGACCTCGTTGCCAATCTAGTAGTACGCTTAAAATCAGTGAATGTTTTTGTTTCTTTTTAAAAGACTTTATCAGATAAATAAATTGCTACATCTTCAAGCTCATAGCCTTCAAGATAACTGATGATAAATTCAATTACTTATTTTTGAAATTTATCATTACACTATTCATGCCACTTACGAAGGTGCTTTGCTGTGACAGCAACTGTCCCTTGATATCATCTGAAGCAAGTCAGCTGCTCTTTCTGTTCCCAGAAGGAATAGCCCATGTTGCTAACTAGCTAATTTCATATGCTTAACTCATCATTTTGTTTTTAATATGATATTACTCACATAGATTTTCTTTTGAAACAGTATTGCTACTTTTTATTCATATTTGATGTGGTTATTCATCAGTTTACTTTGCGGGTAGGGGAAGACAGTATGCTGCTGATAAATACATTTTTATTTTATTTTATTTTTTTAATTTCAGCACAAATTTCCCAAAGCACAAGTCAATGTATATGCCACAGTTCTTGAAAATGATGGAAGTGGTAAGTATTTTTTCATGTTTTCTTTTCTTTTTCAATCATTTCAACCCAAGCAAGGCAATAAAGCCACTAAGATGCAAGGGGTTACTTAATGTGTTCAAAAATACAAGAAAAGGAAAACATTAAGGCAAGGGAACAATAAAAGAACAGGAATTAAGAAGACAGATAATGATTAACTCAACATTTGAAATTTTTAAGATCAAAGTTGACTGGAAAGCAAGATGCTGGAAGAGATTTCCACAAGCAATATGTTCAAGCGAAGAAACATAGCATAGAACTTACATCTAGCCATTTAAACTATGAAATGACATGACCGTGCCACCAATTTAGTACTGTGTTTAAATTCATAAAGTCTAGGCATCAAAGAGGAAAGTTCATCAGAACACTTACCATGAAAATATTTATAGGAAAGGCACAGGGAAGCTATTTATAGTGGTGGGAAAAGTGATTGAAGCTGAGATGCTAGGTCAGGACCAATAACATTGCAGATTATTTGGATTTTATCTTGAATCTCGGTTTATCAAATGTTAATCTGTGTAGGTGCAGACAATATTTCTAATTCAGGAGTTGCATTAATTCATCTTGCAGAGATACAGAAAGACAGACGAGTATCCAGTAGATATTTGTCTGGTAATTCTACACACTCATGAAGATGTAGACAACCTTATTACAGAATGGCAATTACTGTGCTGGCATACGGTATCAATTACAGTTTGGTGTACCAGCTGCTCGGCAACAGACATGAAGTCCTTCAAGAGGGTTATAGATCTTGCCAGAAAATAATTGGATGCTTGCTACCCTCCTTTCTAATTCTTGCTGTTACAGCAGAGCAGAATGCATAATAAAAGACAGCAAGCACACATCCCTAGTACCACTTGTTTGATCTGTTACCCTCAAGGGGACATCCTAGATCTATTAGTTATAGGACAAAGCCCTTGAGGGGCAGCTTTTACCCTTGGGTTCTATGTAAAGTGAACACTGCTACCTGCTGACAATTTTAAATGTCATTACTTTCCTGGATTTGATGCTGTGTGTTTTTTTGTTTTTTTTATGTGTATTGGTGCACCTGGGGTCTGCTGTCCAACGTTCATTGCACAATAACAACATATAAATAAGTGCATGTAGCATATTGTATATTTACACAGAAAATGAAATCAGTGAGCCATGTTCAAGTTAAATCCTAGTCTATTGTGTTCACTTTTGCACTAATGCCCTTGAGATAGGCAAGAATAATTTTCTTCCTACTGAAGCTATAGGTTAAATAGCAGAGTAGACTGAGATCTCTAGCCTTGGGTTGCAGCCAGTCTAGGAGAACAACTCTGAATTCAAAACTGTAGAGAAGGCAATGGGAAACCACTCTTTTGCCAAGAAGTCACGAAAAGGAAGCTGTGGAGAGCCATGAGCGTTTATGTGCTGAGTGGACATATGAAAATAACAGGACTATTGAGTATTTTGATTATGAATACTTTTACCAATAAAAATTATGAGCAAATGCTTGTCTATATTATGATAAATCAAAGGAGGACAAGTGCTGAAAAGTTCACAGCCTGACCAATAAACCCTTCCCTTCCCAAATTCTGATGTTTGGTGAGATTTTTGTCATGGTATATAAGACTCCCCCAACATTTACATTTAATATTACAATATTATGAAGTTAGGTAATATGCTAGTAGTGTAAGAAAGTGAAATTTACATGCTGAGTTCAAATTCCAACCTTGTCTGTTGCATTCACTTTCAGTCAAAAGCACTTGGTAAAGGCAGGATTTCATCTCTCTACCCCCACCTCCCATATATGGGTTAAATAGTAGAGCCTCTCTAGATTTAGGTAAAAACCAGTTTAGAAGGACTACTCTGGATTTAAAATCATGGAGAAGTCAATGGGGAAACCACTATTTTTCCTATGATGTCCTGAGTATTCATATATAATAAAGAAAAGGAATCTGTGGAGAGCCACGATTGCTGTAGGGACATAGCATTAAAAAAGAATTATGGAGTTCACCTATGTACTAAGTCTACAGTATTTGGGTAAATATTAGCTTACTAGATAACTCAACTTTGTATATAAGGTATTAGATAAAATACTACAATGATGTATTGTTTTTGTTTATATATGTTCTATACACATGATCCAAGAATGTTAGTACGATGTATTTCTAACTTACTTACCTGAAGCAAAATGAAAACGGTGCTTTGTATGTTGATGGCCATAATGCCAACATGCAAAATTCAACAGGTATTTCAGGATTCAAAGTGGTGGTAAGCTATTTGGAAAAGATAGTGATTCTATTCCCTCAGAGACTGTGACCTATGATGAGTCCCGTGTTCCCCCAGCTGATGGTGTTTTCCCAATATGAAACCATTTCTTTTCTCTGCATATTGAAGTCTCTTATATCGTCAATGCAAAACCAACCAACTATCAAAAACAGTCTTCACACTCTGGTATTCATAAAGGGATATGAGTAAAAGGATTTATGAGAAAAAGAAAATGATAGATTTTGTGTTATTTCTTGATATCAGTCTTTCAGGTATATCTGGTAATTGTACTCTACCACAATTAACAGTAGCTTGTGTAACAGCAAAATTATTCAATTGTTAAAATTAAACTTTGAACCATTGTATCTTAAAAATGATTAAATATATCTTACTAGAATTCTCCAAGTTTTTTTATAACACTATTGGACTTGTACATGGAGCAATAAGAATGTATAATTACTCTCTAAGCTGAATGAAATCGATCATAAACAAAAACTATATGTTCATTCTTAATCATAGTTAAGGAACAGAAGCTCATGTAGGACTGAAATAAAGTCCAAACATATATATTTCAAGATCATTTTCCAACTTATTAAAGATGATCTTTGCCCTCTCTAACCTTCTAACTTTCTGTCCTGAAGTAACAAGGTGCCTTACAGGTTTCACATGCAATTTCAATTTCAAATCTTTTTTCACTGCTCATTTTTGGACTGTCATAGATGAAAATCCTCTCTCATGTACCAAATGTCTTATGGATTGAGTTGGATCTTTTCTAATTGATCCATTTAGCACTAAGTTGAAATAACGATTCCTCTTCCTGTTGTGACCTACTGATCCAGTTTTCCTCTCTAATGTTCCCTCTTTTTTAAACTTATTCACCATTGGTTCTCAAATGAACTTTTAAGATGGAAGCCAGAGTATGAATGCTGGTACCATTACTGAAGGTCTGGATGATCTTTTTCCTCTCACTATTGCTCAGTTGGGAAGACATAGTGGGGCTGACAAAATGATTTTAGCCTGTTCTCTTTCTAGCTGAATAACTCAAAGGGTTTTTCAGTGATTCTTACAACAAATGGTGTCAAGATGGCTAAACGTCTTTTATGAAAACCTAGAAAATAGAAACTTAATTAGTTTAGTGGTGTTTTTTAGAGATGAAACATTTTGTGGAATGGACAATTATCTCATGCTGTTACACCTATTACTTCAATACTCTTTTGAATATTGTTAACGTCTTTATACCATGTCCTTCATACATGTGTAATCAATTCACGCAAACCTAGGCAGTAAAGCCACTAAGATGCAAGGGGTTACTTAGTGTGAGAGAATAAATGCACAAGAAAAAAACTGTTAGTATAGAACTTACAGTTACATCTGACCATTTCAACCATAAAATGATGTGACCATGTACCTAGCAAATGATGAAATCTAGTCAATCTGCCAGTTAGGTGCCATACATGATATATGATTGGGTGATCATCTCTCTTTTGATTTCCCACAGTAAGGTTACTGAGTACTGCACTTAAATTCGTAAAGTTGAGTTACCAAAGAGGAGAATCCATCAGAACAATTACCATGAAATTATTTATAGAAAAAACACAGGGAAGCTACGTTATGGCATTGGGAAAGTGACTGAAGCCAAGATGCCAGGTCAGGACCAATAACATTGCAAATTCTTCTTTGGATTTTTTTAAATACATATCAGAAGTACCAGACCAGATGCATGGACAAATTGTAGACTTATAGAAAAGTAAGATCAATTCTGGCAAGAAAAAATGTCTGGCACGACACAATGAACAAAATTTTCTAGCAGCAGACCTAGCAATTAATTCAATATAATCTTTCCATTTAATGTGCACAGAAAATGTTAGCCCAAAGGTTGCAAAGAGTCACTTTCCTGGGGGTTAACACATACTTTTTGTATGACTCATGAATTTAAATAAAACTTTCATTTATTTGATGTTTCAAAATCTTGTTCCAAATTCCCAAATGTTGTTTTCATGAGATGAACTGTTATTTTGTGTATGTATTTCCATACTACCTTAAACAAAATGTTAGGAAGGAAATCCCTATCAACACTAGCAAGAATAAATTTTCCATGCTCATGGGATTGCAGATGGAATCGTGAAATCTTTAGTCATAAACAGAATCTGGATATTTAATGTAATTTTCAATAATAAATAAATAAATTATTTGATTTTTTTTTTTTTTTGATTTTTTTTTTTTTTTTTTTTTTTTTTTAATTCTTTCAAAACTTAATAACCGTCTCTCTGATTTTGTTAAACATTTTAATAAATATAACAGCAGCATATTTATTTCCTTAAAATTTGTTTTTACAAACCTTTGTAGTTATTTTCCATATAAAGCCCGAAAAATAATTAAGAACAAATGCTTACACAAAAGAAAATGAAAAGTGGGTTGTCAATTTTCTGAGACTATGTTGGCTAGTCTATTTTTAAATAATTTATAACTTTAAGAAACTGTGTGTTGCAAACGAGATGAAAGTCAGAAGGTCACGGCTCAGTTGTGGCCACCAAGATTCATTGTTAAAGTGGAAATAGAAGGCAGACATTAATTAATGTTAAAATTGGAGGAGAGAGAAAGAGACAAAGATCAAACCAATAAGTTTAACAAAATCATTTCCTTTAAATGCTATCACATGTCTACCATACAATCTAGAAATAAAGAAAAACAATTCTCCCAAAACACCATTCTATGAAATGACTGGTTTGTCTAAGCTTAGCATCACACAGCGATTCTCCCAGATTAATATTTACATCATCTTCAAAGCTTCACCATTGTAAACAAATTTAAATTGAACAAAATATTCTTTAATAACATTAACTATCAATGATTATTTTTTAATATTTTATTTATATTTTGTAATCTAAACCAGCTGTATGAATAAGCAACAAATTGCCAAAATGACTGAATCAAGTCAATATAGTGAATCAACCTCAAAAGTTGGATCTGCTCCTCTAAAAAAAAAAAAAGAAAATGACCCCAGTATCTAAAATTTGTGCTAAAGCCAGAGTAGAGCAATTTCCTGATGACTTTTATGTAGAAGAAAATGTTATTTTGCAAATTCTGTCTCTATAGTGTTGACATTTTTAGGGTTGACACAATCAAAGGTCACATCAAATCAAAAAACTCATTTAACAAAAAAGTCTTCAAAAAAAAAAATGCTGGCTCAACTGAAACAGAAGACAATCACAACTTTGTTGAAGAGTAAAGAGGTAGAAGATGATTTTGTCCTTAATTTTTTGAAAATGTGCACTTTGACATTCCCCTACACAAAATTGACAAAATGAGGCCATTCATATTAAAACATTGTAAAGAAGGTGATGCTATTCCAAGTGTCAATTATATTAGGCAACTTCATCTACCAAAATTGTTTGCTTGTCACTTTGCTGCCCTGAAAGCCAAACTTGCTAATCAGTCAGCATCATAACAGATGAAACAACTGTCATGACCACAGCATTTTGAATGTAAATGCAAGCATTCATGAGGAGTCATTTCTCATTAAAGTTGTAACCTTGTGAAAATGCAATCATCAAACTGTAAGTCAGGTATAGATCTGAGCTGTAACTCATGGAAATTGCATTTGAGGATATTATTGCCTTTATAAGAGATTTTGCAGCCTATTGCAAAAAAAGCTCATAAGAAAGTGTTGTCAAATGTCTTTGTTAACAGTTGCCATGTATTGCGCTTAGCACAAATTTTAAATCTTGTTGAAGCATTTCCACACTGGCCAGCATTTGATAATGCTACCCAGCTCACTACTTTCATCAAATCAGCCTTTTTTTAAAAAGGCCTAGTTGGAAAAAGTGATATTTAAAATGGCTTGAAGGTTCCTTGCCTAAGGAACAAGTGAAATTACCGTCTGTACCAGTAGCAACCGGACGGAATTCTCAGTTTAATGCAGCCAAATATCACTCATAAGCAAGAAAAAAGCCATGGCGATGCAGTAGATAGGATTCTAGAATTAGGAGAGCATGGTCGTCTACATCATGACTCTTGCCATAATTTGCACCTAAATCAGAATTTTATAAATGAGAATTGCACTCATTTATAACAGCTTTGACAAACTTAGAAGAAACTAAGTCTTCACTTGCATGTGTTGTAACATGATGGAGGATGTAAAACAGTATTTGCATACTGGTACATCAAAATCAACATTTGGCTTAGAAACTGATTGTCTTCTGTCTGAACTAGAAAACACAGAGAGGGAGAAAGTTTCTGTCTATATTTCTGAGGTGAGGTATTATGTACATTATTCAGACTATTGTCCTCATCTTTGTTGCCATATTTATTACAACGTTTCAGCCGTTGTACGCTCTGGCTTTCTTCAGCTGGTTGGAATGTCAAACTGAACTTTTATTTTATTCACTGGTGTAGACTGTTCTAGTTCCATGTTTAATGGATGTCAATTATCAGTTATCTCCTGTTAATTTCCCTCTGAAAGTTCTCCACTGCCTTAATCGGGTATTGAACTCACACTCTTTGGGTCCTGTCACTGGATCTAACACCTTTATCTGTGATTTTTTATATTATGAATCGAAAATTATAAATCAATCTAAATACTTAAAAAAAAAACAATTTGAATGTCTTTTGAACATGTTCTTAAAGAAGGAAGCTCTTATTAAAAGTTCTACCTCAAAGATAATGCATGATAACATTCCATTTTTTTATTGTCTAGTCATGTTACATTTTTTATTTATTTTTGGACATGGATTTTAACATTTAAAAAAAGATTTGTAGATATTTGCTAGTTCTTTATCTTACTTATTATAAAACGCAGATTGTGTGTGTGTAACGTTTATATATTGGATCGGATTTCCTACATTTTTCAACCGATTTCAACAAAACTTCACAGGACTACATAAAATTACCTTGTGGTGGTTCTAACAGTGCCAAAAATGGGAAAAATATAAATATAATTGCACAAAATCAATTTGAAAACACAATTAAGAGAAATCGTGAAAATGGAAGGGGGACAACTCACATCGGGTTGTTTGTGTGTGTGGGTTCCTTTAAATATGGGAGCGGATTTCCATATTTTTCAGCCGATGAAACAAAACTTCACTTTTTTGTTTTTTTTTTGTTTTTTGTTTTTTTTGGCAGATAGTGTTTCTTATTCTCTTGCACACTTTTTTCTTTATTTTTAACATTCAGAATGCTTTAAAAATTCCATTTACAAGACAATTATTTATAATAAAATTCTATTCAATTAGGAGACTCATAACGATTGAAAACAATGTTTTTGTTTGAGTTTGGGTTTGAGTTTGACCAATTCGTAAAAAAAAAATAAAAAAAAAATCCTAATTAAGACATGCGTGTCCGTCAACCTTAAACAATAATCTTTGTCAATTTCATACTTTTATGTGGATACTTCATCTATCTCTTACTGTTATATCCCCGGGCAACGCCGGGCTCTACTGCTAGTATGCAATAAAACTTTGAATTATATTTTTGTTTTCAGTTTTAATAATAATTATAGCATAATATATTGCAGATTTCTAATAAAATGCTATAAAAATGGAAAAAAATGAAATTTCCCACAAGTAAAAACAGAATTTACCAAAAGTGAAAACAGAATCAAGGAAAATTTGAAAATCAGGAGCCCTACAAGAGTTATAACATTGGATTGACAATAACACTATTTACACATGGACAATTGTTCTCATCATTATTGCTGTTTTCACACCTTTTTGACTGTTGCACTTTCCAGTCTTCATCAGGTGTATGTAGATCTGGGTTACCTACAAAGAACTCCAAACTGAGCTACTCAACTCATAGCTGGGCAGAGAAGAGGGGGATTCAAACCTTTCCAAAGGGTGTTGGCATGTAAGGGAATATAATGAACCCAACAGGCATTGGAACTCTCCTCTCCAATTAAGAATTCTGAATTAAGAATCAAAGCTTACAACACCTGGTATTCGCAACTGATCACTCATCTAAGTATTGACCAGGCTTGATATTGCTTAACTTCAGCGATCATACAGGAACTGGTGTTTCAATATAATGTGCCCATAAGCCTTTCATCAATTAAGAAAGGGTAATTGTATCAGATAGGTGGGAAAATTGGATAACAATGGCCCGCATGGTCAAGAGGCCCAAGCAAATGAGAGTTCGGACTTCAGCGGTTAGAAGTGGCGAGAAAATGTAGTGGTGTTGAAACAAAAAAAAAGTTTTTGCTTAACATCACTTATTCCTGTATTTGTGAAAAAGTGAATTAAAAGGTACAATGTAAACTTTTTAGAAAAAATATATTGCTTTGATCATTTTATCCCTCCTCTCCTCAGTATTTTATTTTCACTTAAATGTTATTTTTAATGGATACTAATATTTGAGTAGATATTCATTTTATTTATTAAACAATATATTTATTTTCATCTACTGACCTGAATATATGAGAAATCTTATTAAAGAAGAAAATGCTCCTGCCAGCAGGATTTGAACCTGTGTCTCCCTTAGCAGATTTGAATCCTGCCATAATAAAATTTCTTGAATATTCAGGCTGGTAGATGAAAATCAATAAATATACTGTTTAATACATAAACAGGGCATCTACTCAAATATATGTATCCACTAAAAATAAAATTTCAGTGATAAAATCTGTCGGATTAATAAATAAAAAATCCATTACTTCTTCATATATATATATATATATATATATATATATATATATATATATCAGATCTGACATATCTTTATTACTTCAAATGTTATTTTTAGTAAATATCTGTATTTGCGTATAGCATTTCATTTTTTTTTTTTTTTTTTTAATCAGTGTATATTTTGTCTACTGACCCATGCATTTGAAAAAAAACTTAATAAAGATAATTTGCTCTGTGGTAAGATTTGAACCCGTGTCTAAATCCTGCTTTAGGCACATTCTCTTGTTCTGATTAGAAGATGTTTCCCCCAATCACGACAATCTTAACCTGTTCAAGCCTAGGTCTAACATTTATCTTCCTCTCATATCCACATAAGCTGCCTTTTAATGTAAACCTCTCTGATTGAGTAATCAGAAAGCCGAGTTCGAATTCCAGTCAAAACCATTATACTCACTTACATGCTAATACCCTTGGGATAGGTATGAATACTCTTCTTCTACCCCCCCAAGCTATAGGTAAATAGCAGGACATACCGGGTTCTATAGCCTTGGATGGGAACTGGTCTACGACAGAAAGAAATGTCAATCTACTGTGGGGAAAAAAAATCTGCCTTGTCAGTCATGTAACTGACTGACTACCTCAAGTGGACCCTGGGCCTTGTACAGAATGAACCTTACTGTAAAAAAAAAAAAAGAATTTTTTTTTTTTGTTCTGATATAAAAAAAAATGTTTTTCTTCTAATATATAAAATGTTAGATCTCATATTCCAATATATATATATATATATATATATATATATATATATATATACTCTAGAAGTGGTATATAGTATGTTTCTTTAGTTGATTGAAATTATCTTTTGTAAATAACATCCTCAGTAGCAATTGAGTTAAAGGTCAACAATTGGGTAGGTTGTAGTGTGTTTCCTACTGCTTTTGAGTATTTTAACAGCCGTGGCAGTGGTGTGGTAGAGATGTTAGTAGCAGTAATAGTACCAGTATTATTAATACTATAACTACTACAAGAAAAATAATAACAAAATCCAACCCCCTTTTTTGTTATTTTTTTCCCTGAGAAAGATTTAGCTTCTCTTCTTATAATTAAAAAACGATAAATGTCCTATTAGGCAGCGTGAACTGATTAAGCTGTTGAATTCCCAGCTGGTGAGTGTTTCCTCTCAATTTAACTCTCCTGTAAGCACTTAATACATTTGGAAAAGGTATTTGTTTTAATCCTTTTCAACCCAAGCAAGGTGATAATGCCACTAAGATGCAAGAGGTTACTGGTAGTGAAAGAGAATGAAAAAGACAATAAAAGAACAGGATTCAGAAATCCGGTTTGTCGGCAGGGTGAGGTTTTTATCAATCAAACACTCTTGTGACTTGAAAATTACCAGTCAGCTAGGTTGTTACCCCCTCAACTGAAAAACACAACAATAGTGCAATAAACCAGATTTTATTGTTAAACTTTACTACTATAAGCAAGCAAAGATGAGTTGAGGCGTAAGTGAGTGAGAAGGTGGGCAGTCAACAGCTCTCCGTGTTTCTGTGAGGTCCGCATTGGTCCTTCTCTCCTTCCTTTTCACAGTATGGTCAGCTTTATAGCCAATAGGCTGTTTTGTCCTGTCACCTTTTTCTAAAAAAACAATTAATCTTACTTCCGTCAATTCCTCTCCGTTTGCACCTCTTGTACTTTGAAGTAGATTCCAATTACTGATAGCCATCAGATGAAAGCGTTTCGTATTGAGTTGTCTTAAATTTAACTCGTATTGCTACAAACACAGAAGATGGTGATTGTCATTGCATTTAAATTTTGGAAGATTTTAGGTAGCTGGAAAGCAAGCAACCAAAAGAAAATTCCACAGTTGAGAAGTATGAGAAAAGAAACTATTTGAATAGAACTTAGGGTTACACCTAGTTAGTTTGAAAGTAAAATGGTTAGAACTAATTGGCAATCTAGTAGCACATTTAACTTCATGCACTCAGGGCACTAAGAAAAAAGCTCATCAGATCAATTGCCATGAAAATATTTATAGAAAAAACAGAGGAAAACCACATTAGTAAGAAGGTAACTGAAGTTGAGATGCTAGGTCAGGATTGATTATATTACAGTCCCTTCTTGGTTTTTGTCAAGTATATTGAAAATATATATATATATATATATATATATATATATATATATATATATATATATATAAGAACATCAGACCAGATATGGCAGCGTCTTGGGTAAGACGATAAACTACATCCGACAGCAAGGCCTTTGATCAGGTTTTGAGGAGTGTGGAACCACCTTTTAATTGCCAGTGTTCTCAGGTCCACCCTGACTTGGAGTGATAGCACCTCTTAGGACCCTGGCTATGGGCAAATAGTTACCCCCCACCTCCCAAAAAGGGGTCAAAACACAATGAAAGTAGAAAAATAAGTTTTAATACCAGGAATACTTTTTTGGAGAAATTATTACCAGCAATACATTTTTGGAAAAATATTACTAACAATACATTTTTGGGAAAATAAAAGTATTACCAGCAATAAAAATTTCATTGGCATTAAATAAATCGTTGAGGTTGATATGCTGTAAAACAAAACAAAACAAAACCAAACCAGATATGGCAGCAATATTCAATTCACGGATGAATAATAGATTTATAAATGTGCAAGATGGATTCTGAAGAAAAAATTCCTAGCAACAAAATCAATATAATTACTCCATTTAAAGAGTTGCGCTCCATACTGCTGGAAAGCAGAATATGTTCTCTTTAGTGACTAAATGAAAGCAGTTTTGTTTTGGAGTTGTCAAAATTTAGAAGCCATTCCTTGCCCCAGTTAACCATTGATTGGCAGTCATTTTCAAGAATAGCTGCCACATTTACTTTGTCAAAGACTTTTTGAGACTTACCATTAAGACAGGAATAAATAGTTGTGTCATCAGTTACCTCCCACTGGGGATGAGGATCCCATGTTGATGCACCATGTCTTGTTCACCTCTCCAGCAATGTCTGCTAAATTAAACATCTCATTTAAGAAAAAAAATATAGCTTCCGTTAATAAAGGAAGTGTACCTTGTGCTTTGAAACAAAAACACCACATATTATCAACTAAAGATAAGGTTGTACTCTTGAAAATCCTAAACAGTACAAATATCTCAAAAAAATTTTTACAATCTAAAAATATTTGCTGGCCTTAAATGACCTGCAAAAGGTTGATAAGCCTTAAAAAGCTAACAGTCTTGTTTCTTAATATTTTGCTCTTGTAAGTGTTGCAGCATACCTACAGACGATAATGGGTATGTCTCGATTCACATAAATACAGTAGTAAATGCTGTATGTTGGTCTAGAGTTGGAAATTCATTGTAGAATTCACTTGACTCACTTCTAGCAGTTGACTACTTCTTCTACGCCTTGTTGGCGAATCTTATATGCGTTGTTCTTGTCCTAAGTATTTTCGTTCATTACCAACCTGTGTGTGATTATTCTATTCAGTAGCCTTCTCTAGATTACAACAGTAAGTGTTGTTGAAGTTCTTTAAAGACTTCTAATGTATTTTCTTTCTTTTTGATTTTGCGTAAGCCAAACTGTTACTGAAATTTCATTAATTAGTGTAATAGTCATCGCATTTCGATGAGTAATATTGTTAGTTTTTCTTGGATTTACATCTTTCTATAATTGTATCACATGATACATTTCTGCCGTTATAATTTTGTATTGCATTGACCTTGACATAGTTTCCAAAGACTGATAAAGAACAGATTTGAAACAACACTTTCTTCCCAGGCAAATATGCGCAAACTGCCTGCATATACATAATTCAGAGCAGCTTCAGTCATCATTTTAATGTTCCTCATGTTGCTAGAGCAGCAAACATATTTATGACGTTTAAATCATTGCTTAACAGATGGCTTGCAAGGAAAAGCAGACCTCCCCTATTGAGAGGTTTGTTTATGTTCTTTAAGGTTGGAATTCATACATGACAACATCCTGAACAAATATTTTATTCGGCTTCCATTGTCTGGGAAATACGCACACACACATGCACACACTGTATGAATAATGATATTCTTTTGAGGAGTCTTGGAGTGGGTCTTTCAGCACCACACCCGAGAAGTTGAATGGAACTTTATAACAAAAAAAAAAAAAAAATTCCTGCCACTCAAACATTCACACTTGATTCCTTAATTATTATCCAGTTGTGTAATGAACCATTTTGTTACCCATTTTATTTACGTCTCCTATCCATCAATTATCAATATTACTCTTAGACTTTTTTTTTTTATGTACATGTCCACTCCAATCAGACCCCGCCACCAGTGTACTTAATCACTTAGTACTTAGGTCAGGAAGCAACATTCAATATATCTCTTAGTGTACCTATTAATTTGCCCACTTCGTACTTATTTACCTT